GGGCAGGGGATTGTTGACAGCAGAGGAGGCTGTGCGTGTAGGGGGTGCTACCTGGGACTCTGTACTTTCAGCTCAACTTTGTTGTGAACCCAAAACTGCTCTAAAAAAAATACAGTCTCTTAAAAAAAATTTTTTTTAAAGACTATAAGGAATGATAATGGGCTTGTTCAGCCCTAGCTCTGGCACTGCCTCTGAGCTGCTAAGAAAGGGTAGATTTATTTTTGAGAAGGTGATTATTAAAAATAGTTACTGACTAATTGTTCATTTCTTAAAAAATTTTTTTGAATATGGTATTGTAGGTTTACAGGATGCAGAATGGTTGTTATAAAATAATTAAATTCTTAATCCAACAAAGCTGAAACTTTTATGCAAAGAATTTGGGATGGAAGGAAGTCTCCAGGCGGTAGAATTCCGTAGGAACAACTGTGTGTTCCCGTCACGAGCAGTGTTTGTCGCGGGTCTGCGTAGGATGTGCCCCATGGAGCTGCAGCAGGGACACCCCTCCAAAGCCGGGTCACTGCGAGTGGCCGTTGACGTGGTCTCAGTTCCCAGCCCGGCTCCTTTCACTCCCGCCTATTGAGTTTCACGGAGCATTTCCCTTCCTTGTACCCCTGTGAGTCTGTGCTAAGGGGACCCTCCAGCCCCAGTCAGCCTCTCATTAAGAATAATTTTTTTTTCTTTGCCAGTGAGAACTATCTGATCCGCTGGGGCAGTAACGGGATGCCCAAGGAAATAGAGAAACTCAATAACCTTCAAGCAGTGTTCACTGTAAGTCCTGCCTTCTGCCGAGTCATTTTCCTTCTTTAGGATAGGAGCAGGTTCACATGGTGAGTGTAGGGAAACATCAAAGACAGAGAGATGGAAAGAAACATCATCCTGATCCCCCTGGCAGGAATAACCCACTCATTTATTCGACAGATATTTATTGCACATCTAATAGATGCCGGGCACTGGCTTAGGCACTCGAGCTACATCTGTGGACAAATCGGGGGGGAAGAACCCTGTTCTAGAGCAGCTTTTGTCCCGATGGGGAAGACAGATAATAAACAAAAATCAAATCAATGAGAAAACTGTGTGGAATGTTAGAAGTCCTGAGTGCTTTGAGGGGACTAGTGTCATCTGCACTGTTTAAGTAGGTTGGTCGGGGCAGGCCTCTGTGAGAAGGAACCATTTGAGCTACAACGTGAAGCTGAGTAGAGTGAGCTGTGCAGGTAACGGGGGGGAGAAGCTTCCAGAAGAGGTTACAGGTGGGGCAGACGCAGGATCTAGACTGGTTTCACGTGCATGTGTTGAGTGGGTTTCCTCTCCTGCAAAGTGCTGCTACATGTGGCTCCAGAGCACGGAAACGTTTGGGGCAAGGTGACTCTCTGTCTCTTGGAATAGGAACCTTTTGCGGGGGGATTCTCTTGCTTTTTCATGACATCAGTTCTTAAAATGCTCCAGAGCTGCTGCCCCATCCTGAGAAGCCTTGGTGGGTAGGGGTCACCCCCTCCCGTTTGGCCTGAGGGAGACACTCACCCTCAGTTTCCTTCCCTCCTTGAGCCCACATGTGTCTTAGCTCCTTCTGTTCCTCTCAGGGCTGGGAAGGCAGAGTCTAGGGCAGTGCGCCAAAGGGAGTGACAGGGAGGAGCAGCGGCCGCAGCAGAGGTTCACTTGTACTCCTCTGTGAGCATCCTGCCCCCGGGACAGGCCTGGGCCCATCCCTGCCCCTGCACCAAGCCACCTGTGTCTTCCCCACCCAGCACCTGCAGGGAGGAGAGCTCGTAGAACTCTTCTTCAAACCTCTCCGCCCCTCCAGCACACACAGAGCATTTCCTCAGTTCTAAGCTATGTGGGTTTTTCCCTAAGATTAAAAGGTATTTATTGGTCCATGTGTATAGTTACAAAAACACATTGCAAGGGGTATTAGTGACTATTTGGTCCATCTTCTAATCAATACCGTTTTAGAATAGCTGCACTTCCTCCCTCCCCCTCTATTAGGACCATCTCGAATGTAAATTTCACATCCAGCCTTTTCTATTAAATAAAATGTGATGACTGTTTCCTTGGTCATTAAACATTCTTCAGAAACTTCATTTATAAATGATTGCATATTATTTAGTAACACATTATCTGCAATATCGCTTTCCACAGTTTCAGTTACTTTCAGTCAACCATGGTCCAAACATACGAAATGGAAAATTCCAGAAACAAACAATTTGTGTGTTTTAAATTGCACGCCATTTTGAGTAGCGTGATGAAATCTTGAGCCATCCTGCCCCCGTGCTACAGGCCTCCCTGCCCGTTAGTCACTTACGAGCCATCTCTGTGGTCAGATCGACTGTCCAGTGTCACAGTGCTTGTGTTCGAGTCACCGTTATGGTCCTAACAGTGGTGCCAAAGTGCAAGAGGAGTGAGCTGGCCATTCACATGTGCCAAAGGGAAGCTGCAAAGTGCTTCCTTTAAGTGAAAAGGTGAAAGTTTGTCATACATGTGTCCGTATAGGAAAGAACATGGTACATATAGGGCAGGGTACCGTCTGTGGTTTTAAACATCCCCTGGGGGCTGGGCGCGGTGGCTCACGCCTATAATCCTAGCACTCTGGGAGGCCGAGGAGGGTGGATCGCTCAAGGTCAGGAGTTCGAGACCAGCCTGAGCAAGAGCGAGACCCCGTCTCTACTAAAAATAGAAAGAAATTATCTGGACAAC